CGTACTCCTGGGGGTATGCGAGATGACGGTGGGGGGTACGCGAACAAAATTCTGAGTTTTGGCATTCATTTAATTCTACCCCAATTTAAAGTAGCATTAAAACCGAACATGTATTTCTGACGGGCAAAATGCCGCTTCTAATGTAAAAACAGGAAAATGGGAGTGCTGTAAATGGTCAAATACATGATATCCAATCAGCTTACCTCATCTTTTGCGGTCAAAACTGACTGCATCCACACAAGCAGCGTGCATGTGATAGGATGCCCGCTGAATATGCTGCTTTAGCAAATCGCGCTGCTGTTCAATGCATCTTTAAAGTAGATCTTCACTTAATAGCATAAAGAGCAAATATTGACACGGACTGAGATCGATTTAAACTCTCTTCGATACAGACACACTCTGTGTGTGTTATGTTTTCATGTTTATTAAGATACGAGCAAGAATGCAAATTTCCCTGAATATCCAAACGATGGCAAATGTGCCATTAATATTAAGTGAACATTTTGCATTTTAAATGTAGCCTACATTTTAAACAGAATATTGTTTGTTCTATTTTTTCAACGAAATAATAGTTCCAACGAAATCCGTATCATCTGGTGTGCGTCTCCAAGCAACATACAGTGGTGTTTCATTAGTGAACGGATCTGCGCTTTGAACGATTCGGAGAGTCAGTGATTAAATGACCCATTCATAACTACAGCGCTTTGCTTCGTTACTGAATGAATGAATGACGCGATGCCTGGCTCAGTAAGACAGTGACTTGCCGCCACCTATTGGCGGTTTTATCTACAAGTATCACTTCGATTTGCCATCATTTATTGCTTTATTTATTATATTAATAATACACTTAATGGAATGTTAAGAATATTACATAAAAAATTACATACAATTAATAAGGATAGAAAATATCTGCCTCTATAAAGGTAAAAAATGCACCTGTAAATCAATTTAAGGGGGCAAATATTGTCCTTTAATAGAAAAGGTGTGACTGCGGTCTAAGAGTGGAAGAGAGGGGGTACGCAGAAGAATGTTAAATGCCCCAGGGGGTACGCTGCTGTAAAAAGTTTGAGAACCACTGATCTAGATGTGCAGAGTTAGTAGACATATCCCAACAGACTTAAGGCTGTAATTAAAGCAAAAGGTGGTTAAAAAAAATACTGACACAAGGGGGTGATCCTTTTTCCAACTCAGTGATTCTGTTTTTTATTTCTTTAATTTTTTTCTGACATGTTGGTGTTATATATTTCACTTGGATGTTTTAAGTTGCACTGAGTAAATACAGATGGATATAACAAAAACAGTGTCCGTCTTTATTTCAGGCTTCAAAGCAACACAATGTGATTATTTTAAAGGGGGGTGATTCTTTTCTATACCTACTGTATATATTTAAATGCATATTTGTCAACTATCAATAATACTGATAAGATAATACTTAATACTACTATTAATAATTACAAGTGCCTGAGGGCCTGATGAGCTGCTGGGTTAATGTATGTTAATCATGTTGTCCACATTCAAACTGATTTGCTGAAATCAAAACTGGGACATAATAAGTGAGCACTCTACATTAAGATTGACGTTTTCGCATTAGTTTTGTCCACTACTAAAGAAATTGCCAATGCCTTCTGTTTGTGTTGAAGACTGAATAATTCCAAATGAAATTCCACTTTCACATTTCACTTTTGAAATGTTATTTTGACAGGAAAATACAACAAAGAATATCATTTACATGTAGCGCTCGCACACTCTCTCTTTCTTCGAATGTGTGAGAGAAAGACTGAGCACTCTCAGGGTGGGGCGTTTTTAATCTAGAGTTTACTGTGTGTCAAATACGCTGTGCATCCATTGAGATGAATTGGAATAATGTGCTATAAAGACGGAGTATGCTCTCAAGCGCACTCTCAGTGTTAATGATAACAGTATTTAATCACCTAGCATGAAAAATTAGTCGCATATGCAATAGACCAATTACCGGTTTGTAAACATTCAGGATGCGCGCGCATCATGGTTGCAGAAAACCCGGGAGAGATAGCCTTTACAGCTAGAGAATTTCACGGATACGGTACAAAATAGTTAGGTTTAAAAATATTATAAATTATATTGATTAGATGTCATTTTCAAAATGTTCTCTGCATATTACAAGAGCTTGTCACCCAGCGATAAGCACTGTTATTCAACGAAATTGACGTTAGAGAGTGGGATAGTCTTACAGATCCGAAACAGGGATGACGTTTTTTTTGTGGGCGGAGCCTATCTGGTGGCAGAAAATTACGGTTTTCAAGTGGCAGTCTATGGAGCCATGGAATAAAATAATAAAAAAAGGTAAATTTGATTTTATATTTCAAAATTATGACTTTATTCTCGCAATTCCGAGATTATATCTCACAATTCTAATAAGGAAAAACAACTCGTCATTCTCTCTTTTCCCCTCGGCTCTTCTGGCTTTTTTCCCTCAGATTTGACAAACTCACTATTTTTGAGTTAAGTCGAGTTATAAAGTCCGAATTAGGAGATATAAACTTGCATTTGCGAGAAAAAAGTCAGAATTGTGAGATAAAGTAAATAAATGTTATGTAAAAATGTTAATAGTAAGGTTTAAATAATATTTCATGCTGTAACTGTAGGGCTAATACAATACATCCCCTATGAACAGCATATGTGAATATTAGACCTATTGTTTAAATCGAACTTATGCTTTAAAAGTAGAGTAATCATAACAGTTTTCATCCATAGTTTGTCCATTTAAACGTCTGGGTTTAGCTTCAAATTGCGTCTTGGACGACAGTGTTCTATAAAAAATTATTTGCATTCCGATCTTGACATCTAAAGGCACAAAAATATTTTTTTCTTTTATTCCATGGATTTTACCCATTTATCTCCACTTGTTCCCCGTGTTTTTCTGCAACCACTATGCGCGCGCAGCTGCAAGTGACGTAACTGTGATGTCTACTCTGAATTGGTCTATAGACTCTTCAATAGCCCTTAATGTGAGATCAATTAATAAAAATTAAAAAAAATAAATCATGTACTTCATTAGTGACCTTGGATTTGAGTTGAAAATATATTTAAGACAATACACGACAGAGCCTGCAGTTATGAACAGACATTGCTTGCATTGTTTCACTGTTACAGTGCTGCATATATACCACAGCATATCACTCATTTATGCTAATCATTTTCAACATTTTTGTGAACATTTTAAAAAACTGCTGCAAGTTCATTTTATAAACCAAACTGTGATCTAGAATGAACATGAAAATAAACATGAAAAATAACATTTTCTGAACTAACACATGATATCAATGATATTTGGAACAATTAATAAACTGACTTCTTGTTATTTATTTATCATTCATTCATTCATTGTAATTACAAATTTAAATCAATCTAGAGGCAATTGCTGGGCCACCATTTCGATACCAGAAATCCAGAATAAGTAACTAATGTGATATTCTATAAAAAGTAAAGATCTAGGAAAAAAGCAGCACAAATTTGTTTTATGTGTAGTTTAAGGTCCTACAAATAATAAAACTTTGGTTAAAATTAGTCATCAAAAAATTTGATATTTGTTAAGCAAATAAACAACAATAATAAAAAGTAATTAAAATAAAAAGTGAGTTAAAAGTCACTGCAGAATAAATATGTTACCAAATGTGAACATATCACTGTGTACATACAGAATTATTAGTTAATAGAGGTAATAGAGTACTAGGAGCTACTAATAAAGTACTGTAGGCTATTGTAATGTAAGTCACATTTGTTGCAAAGTCAAATGTAGCAAATGTAGATTTGATGTTAAATAACTTTTGTATAAACATGTAAGGTTAAACCTTATATGAAACATATATTGGCTACATACAAATATTTTAAGCCTACATTAATCCCAAGACTGCATAAGCATCCTCCATAGCCATTTAGACAGTTACATGAGAGGTGATAGCTATGGGCAGTCTAGAACGTACTGATATCTGCAACCTCAGCAACCATTAATTACACAGTAAAAAGAGAGATAAAAGAATATGGATCAGCTGTTATTTAGAAAGTTGATAGCCAGTGGAGCTGTTTGTAAACAGGTAAGATCATTAACAGATATTTTCCACTGTGATGTCTGATGGCAGCAAACAAATCATACTTGCATGCTTTTGCTTTTCATAATAGTGAACAAATAATATACCTTTGTAACACACCCCCTCCCCAATACTGTAGTTCGAAGAATATAAAAATACTGTGGAGATTGTTCTCAAACTGTTCCAGATATGATGTTTGCAATCACCCACCTATTCATTGTCAACAGCTGTCTAAAAAAAATTAAAAGAGAGAGAGAGAGAAAGAAAGAAAGAAAGAAAGAAAAAAGGAATACATCTCAAATAAACCAAGGAGCTGATTAAATCTATGTGCTCACTGTAATTTAATGAACACAATCTGTCAAATACCACCTAATAAAAAAAAACTGTATAATATATTTATTTCATTCAAGTGCAATATTGATTTTTTATTATTATTAAAAACTATATCAAAGGAATCAGGAAAAAAGTTGTTGAAGTTATAGGGCTATGGCAAGAAATCGTGCACTTATATAATATATAATAACAAACAACCCTTGAATATAATAACAATCAACCCTACTCAACAACTGGAAAGCAAGATTTCATAATAGCAGGATGAATCACAACAGTATAAGAGACAGTGTCATATTTCCCTCCATTTTTAATTGAGAAATTGTTTGTGAATATGCAGCTTTATTTTTCACTTTTTTTTTATTTTGACAGATCTTATTTTTGCAAGTAACACAAAAAATGAAAGCCTGTCAACAATAAAGTAGGCTACAAAGAAATATTCACGGATGTGTGCCGACTCATCTGTGCCAACCACAACATATCTCAAGTTAAAAAACCAGTTTTGCCTGTCACATTTATAAGATAGCCCAGGCATGTTTTACATAGGCATGGATACTTGTTATGCCACATTACAGTGAAGCAGAAAGAAAAAGAAAGCAATGCTTTTCGAGTTTGGCTCTTTGAGTGGGTTATTATCTGGGCAGTGTGGGAATATATGAATTTGTTGACCGGCGGGTGGCTTACAGCTATTTGTGGAAACCAAGCCTAATGTTACATGTTAATCAGCTAAGAAGCTCAGCACACTACATCTGCAGTCTCTCACTCTCACCAGGATAAAAGCACTGAACAAGTCCTCTGTTCTATACAAGATCAAACATTTCCTGCAAAAACAGAAAGCAGTGTCTAATGGCTTGGAGCATATTGATTAAAGTTATAACATGGATGGTTTGTTTGTTGTTGTTGTTATTGTTGTTTTTCTTTGTCTAAGCCTTCTGTCTACTTTGAGATTCCATGACAATGACGATTCTGTAATAACTCTATTCTGTAATTAATCTAATTCAGTTACTACTGAAGAACACAGCTCACCTCCAAAAGTTGGCGCTTGTTTTGTCCCCGCCCAGCTTGTTGTGAACGCCTCTATGATGTGAAGTCCGAATCATTCCAACGAGTCGGTTCTTTCGAACCGGTTCAAAAGAGTGATTCAGCTATCTTTTCTTTTACGTCATACATCTTTTAGTTTTAGAGTATATGTCAGAGACACATGATGCATCCCAATAAAGCCACCTGCAGGGACATACATATTTTATTAGAATATTATTGCGTAATAATAAGTTTGATAATAAGAGTGTTTATTTGGCCTATAAATTCGTTTAGCCTACCAGTTTAGTTCGTTACAGACATGAATCATAAATCAAAGAGTAATTTAGAATGCTAAAATAATTAATACTATACTATACAATACTAGATATTTTAGCATGTTTTACCATGTTCAGAAACATAAAATTATATATTTTTAATTAAAAACTTTATGCCTGTTGATAAAACTGTCACACATGGGCGTCGCTAGGCCATTTTTAGGGGGGCTATAGCTAAAATGACTACTCAGCCCCCCTAAAATTGTGCAATTAGCTCCATAAACTGCACACGAATTCGTGATCGCCTCACTCCCCTTTAAAGGGGTCATATGATGCGATTTCAATTTTTCCTTTCTCTTTGGAGTATTACAAGCTCTTGGTGCATAAAGAAGATCTGTAAAGTTGCAAAGACTAAAGTCTCAAATCCAAAGAGATATTCTTTATAAAAGTTAAGAGTCAGCCACGCCTACCTAAAACGGCTCGTTCTAACACGCAGTCACACCAGATACTGACTGGTTTTTGGGGAGCCCCCCAATACAGTAAAACTGCACATTTTAGAGTGGCCTTTTAATGTGTCCTAAAATGAAAATCCTAGAATCGCCCCTGCTGTCACACAATAGTTGTATAGCCTACTTCACTAGAATATTTATCACATATCATGTTGTCATTTCAATAGGAATCCACGTAATCTGGAATTTAGCATGAGGGCAAAAGATTTCCCCAAGCAGATTTCACAACATTTATTAACAGAAACCTGCTTGGAATGAAAGTGGCTCATTTGTGAGGTGTGCTTCGTATATTGCTTCATTATAGCAATATAGGCAATTTACTTTTTTTGGTCGCGGAATTTTGTTAATGTTACCGCTCCGTTACATTTACACGAATCAAGTAGTTTATTTCTTGCTTCATCATTCTCATTACTAATTAATACTGTAGCTAACTTAAAGGGGTCATATGATGCGATTTCAAGTTTTCCTTTCTCTTTGGAGTGTTACAAGCTGATTGTGCA